AGTGCTTTAAATAAGAAAAAAACCCTCCTTCTGTACATTACTGTGGGTAACTGCCGAGTACAAAGTCTGTCTTCCTGTTCCACTCTCCACACTTTCTCTCTGTGTCTATATCCATTCAGGTGGATGGAGAGCTAATCAATTCTCACTGGGCTCTAAAAGGCCAGGGCTCAGGCTACAGCCTTCTGCTCAAGCTAATATCACGCTCTGTCTTTTAGCTCCACCCACTCCACCTCCTCACATCTGCCTCAATTTGGAAATTTTCTGCAGTTTTTACATGGGTGAAAGAAAAAACCATTGGATGCAATCATTTTCTAATCAGGATATACAGATTACTATATATTTCTAAACCTGGACATCTAAAATATGGGATTATGTATCTTTTTTGAACATGAGGAGAGAGAGGGAAGACAGAGGGGAATACATTTGATGGGGGGGGGAGGGTGAGGAAGTGAATAATGAGACCAGTGGCACAGAAAGGAGGCAGTGATAGGTGAAGAAGAGTACAAGAGGAACAGATAAAGGGGGGGAATATGAGCATCACTGGCGCTCATATTTTAAAGGGCAATGTTAAATTGAAACATATGCTGCGATTACTGCCAGTCCACTGACTTAGGCTCTTATGCCTACTTGTGGATTAGCAGACAGTCCACTTAGACCTTCGCTGAGGAGCTGATAAGCTCCCGTTTCTGAAGAGGCACCCTCTGAAACAAGAATGGGCTAAAATACTGCAATAAAAGTGTTTCTCAAATGATGTGAACAGTGAGAATAAAATCTGGTAGCTAATCTGCACCATTGACTTTTTACATGAATATTTATTGTAATTACTGTAACTGTGCCAAAATGCTACCAGTACATCACTACCAGCTGTGTTCTACTTGTTTGTCTATAAAGCTGCACACTACATTTCACAGTGCAAGTACTAGCACTGTGGTTTCTTTGGAACTGGGGAACCCATGTATTTTTTCCGTAATTCGGAATAATAAAAATACAAACATTTCTTTTATCTTTTATTTGTGCGTCTCAAATACTGCAGCTTGGTCAGTAGCTTTAAAATATTACGCTGTGGGTATCCCTCTCGCATCATTTCTGGATGCGCCTGCCATCGAAGTCAGGGGATGTAGTATAAAGAGTGAGAAAGGTGGTGGGGTAGATGGAGCTTAACCTAGCAGACTGCTGTTGTGTGAAACCAGCACTAAACGTACGTAAGTTATGTCAGGTACATAATGTATATTTATGACCTTTTCAAAATCCTAAATATTTTTTGGGGCTTAACCTGAATCTGACCAAACTGCAACCATTTCACAACGTTCCTTTACATTGCTTTATTTTGAAAGTTAGTTTGAAAGTAACCGTTGCATGTTTATTGTTGCTAACTTGACAGCAGAGCCCTGCACGATGCACGTCCGGAAATCACACTAGAGGGATACCTACAGCGCCATATTTTGAAGTGGAGGGGCATTCACCATGCGCTAGTATTTGATGAATTGGAAGTGAGAACGTTTTGTATTTGTGTGACTGTCAGCTATAATCACTGAATGCACACGGTGACATATGTAAAGCGACAACTGATATATGTTTCCAATGCTGTGGACTGAAGATAGTGTGCCACCTCTTTAAATTCGAATACAAGTCCAAGACCAGGACTACTTAAGACTGAATCATGACCAACTCCAAACAGGTTCGAGTCCATTTCAAGACCAAGTCCTAATGAGTGAAACAGAGTCGAGACTGAAACAGGAAAAATACAAATGCTTTTGCCAGCGAGATAAGTTTTGGCAGCCAGACAAGCTATATTCACAGAGCCTTCACTCTCTGCTAAACAGCCTCTAGAAAATTTACAACAACCAAAGGGATAATAAAACAATACGAAGAAAACACCACAATTGTCAAAAAAGAAGCCAAAAGACAGAGAATATCAATAAAGCTTATCTCTGATGCAATATTCATTGGAAATAATCTGCTCAAAATTCATCCAAATCACTTCCTACAAACTTCTTGCAGTTATTGTGTTCACTGTTTGGATTCATTTTACAGTTTATGGGCGGCCAAGGCTCATTGATGTACATGGGGAGTGAAGACTGGCCCGTGTGGTCTGATCCAAAAGAAGAGCTACTGTAGCTCAAACTGCTGAAAAGGTCATAATGTAATGGTGTATAAAACCTATACTTAGTCAGGGGTCATAAGGGTCCCTTAAAGAAAAAGGGTGGGAATCACTGCTTTAGGCTACCAAGGCTTTCAGCTACAGATTTTATACTGTGCTCCAGTGGTGGTGTCTCAGCCTGTAGGGCTCATAATCAGTGTGACAAAAATGCCACTATGCAGAAAAAAAGAGTCAACACAAGAGCAACACAGAGGCAGAGGAGACACAGAGCGGTTACTACAATGCAACAAAAAATCTCAAAATAAATGTTGCTGCATGACTGACAGCTTCTGGACTGTATTTGAAACAAAGACACTTTAGCCTCCAATCTCTGTCTCTCTCTGCAGTAAAATCTAATGTGGCTGTGAAATATGACACACACGCACGCACACACACACACCCTCCATCAATATCTGACTCGTCAGCAGTGTCTGTGCTTCAGTTTGGCCATTTGACTCTTTGAGCTGGTCCATCCCCTACACAGCACTGCTGGAGCTGTTCCACACTGCCCGCAACAGACAATATAATGACATCACCTGAAAAAGGAGTGAGTGAGTGTGTGTGTGTGTGTGTGTGTGTGTGAGAGAGAGAGAGAGAGACAGGGGAAAGGACAGTATGAATGAAAGTGAGAAAATAGAGAGCACAAGAGATACAGCCATAGAACAAGAGAGACACTCGACTGATTGATTAAACAATGGCTGCTCATTAGAGAGAAACTAGCCTGAGGTTGTGTGTTAGGGGAGGGCAAGTGTGTGTGCCTGTATGTGTTTGAGTGCTGCTGAATGGCCTGCAGCTGAAAGAAAGATTAAGACAGAGCTGGTGGATAGAGATATAGAGACACACAGAGCAAAGCCAGAGTGCCACACACACACACACCTACACACACACACACACCTACACACACACACACACACACACACACACACACACACACACACACACAGAGGAAGCAGAACTCTAACATGAACATGGATACGGGATGTGGCTGTGGTTCAGCTGCTATATATAGCACATAGGAAAAACTACATAACACATTAGTGTTCTCCAGCTGACAGCCACACACACAAGCACAAAGACACACAATCTGAACCAGCACAAGGGAGAAACTTGACATACCATTATTCTGCCTCACTCCACGGGCGCACACACACACAGTAACTGTGCTATCCAGCCCTGCACACACATACACACCATTATACCTGATCTATAGGAACAGATTCACTGATTGTTTCAGTAGCTACAGATACTCAGTGCTAGTCCACCCTGTGTTCTGCATTTGGCCATACGTTCTCATAAATATCACACCTCATGTGCTCTCTCACAAAGAATCTTGTTGCATGTCCGATCCATCCCTGGCAATCTTCTGCAGATATATCCACACTCCCAGCATGCATTGTGTCCAACAGGGACATCTGATCATGTGGCTGCTGGTCATAAACTTTCCACCTCCACGAGGAAAAGAATTCCTCTGTGGGGTTGAGGAATGGAGAGTAAGGTGGAAGGAAAAGTGACACCACACTGGGATGGGCTGTAAACCTTCTGTGACTGGAAGAGAACGGTGAAACGCCACATCGTCACATACAACTCCAAAATGTTCTGGATTCTGCTGCACTGTCCTCACCTGCTGCGAGGAAGGAAACCAGACGCTCAGTGTCCCAATAAGAGTTCATGCATTATTTCTCTTTAGACGTAGAATGCAACTAATTTCAGTCCAATTTACAGTCACTGTGCGTTATGTTGGGTTTTGAATTTAGATTTACAACAGTATGTTAAAATGTGCAAAATGGAGTGTAACACAGTTTTTGTGTTGTTGAGTTTAAGTGAGAAAACAGTGCAAGAAATATGAATAATGTAGTCAGTGAATGCATTTTGTGAACCACAGTTTAGTCCTTGTGGCTGACTGTGTGAGTAGTTTTGACATAGTGAACTTGTATAGAGAAATGTGAGATAGCAAGTGTAAAAAATTGTAAACCTGCAATAACAGAACTTGTTATGTCACTTGGGTGCCAGCGGAAACAAGTAATACATATAAGTCCAATGTTAATTCTCTTATAGCTCTGTTTTTGGTCTCTACCAGCTCCTGTGGGAAATATCTGGCTCTTTAGTTGCTGGATTCTGGTTCTGAGCAGGCACTGTTGGGCCAAGGGGAGCAGCAGATTTGGGTGAAAATTCTCTGTAGGTTCATGCTTATCATTACAGGGCAGCCCTTTTCACAGTGTCACACTGTGTTCACATTGTCATTTGATACAAAAGGACCAGTGTGTTGCAGACTGCAACCATCTGAATACTGCTCAGCCTTTAAAGTGGGTAGGAGAAACGACAGTGGCCACAAAACTCAAGAAAAATGCGGAACGACCTATCTACAGCCAGTGTTGGTTTGTCCGTTCTGGGCTACTGTAGAAACATGGTGGTTCAACATGGCAAACTCTGTAGAAGAGGACCCGCTCCTCTGTAGACACAAACAGCTCATTCTAAGGTAACAAAAACACAACAACTCTTATTCTCAGGTGATTATACATTAAAGAAAACATACCTCTCTCTGCCAATAGATCTTCCTCAATGTAACACACTGGACCTTTAAGGTGCTGTGCTCTATCGTAAAACCCTGGCGATACACTATGCTGAGGGATAGCGGCCCTTTAGCATTATAACGTTCTCATACACAAGGTAGTTACAGCTGAAAACTCATAATTTGGCTGAAGAAGGAGAAGAAATAACACAAATTTCCTAAAATTAAAAAGATATAAGAAATAAAGCAGGGTTACTGCCTTACTTGGTCTGTTATGACCATGGTTTATGGTGGCTAATGTCATGTTCTCAGTAAGTAAATACACACACACACACACACACACACTCTTACCTTTTTGGTGAAGTCCATGGCTTTGAGGATGGAAAGGTTGAGAGTTTCCAATGAGGCCAGAACTCCCTCATAGTCCCCCATGTGCTTAGCAAAGTAGTCTGTACACACACACAGGCAAATTGGCACATTACAAAATTCATACAATCTCTTGCAGTCACAAAATTATTTGCAGTGGTTAGCCATAGCTAAAGCCGCTGTTAATATATTAACATAATATATTTTAAAGAAAGAATTATTGCATTTCATCTGACAAGTACTACTTTTTAATAATAGATAAGAGAGAGAATGAGGGCAGCAGCAGGGAAGTGTGTGTGTGTGTGGGGGGGGGGGCAGTCTACTTACCGCACAGTTCCTTAGTGTCAACATTACTATCACAGCATAGCAGAGGAGCAGCAGAGGGAGAGAAAGGGAGGGAAGGAAGGAAAAGGATGGAGAAGAGCAGGGTCAGAAACAGAGGAAAGGCCTTTTCCATGCACCCTCTCTCTCTCTCTCTCACACACACACACACACACACACACACACACACACACACACACACACAAAGAGTTGAAGTTTTGCCAGGCAGGGAGCGATCTAACAAGACTCTCTGACAGGAGTCTGAATCAATCCACTGCCATCATTCATTCTCAGTTCACTGTGCGGGGACTCATTTGGCAGCGAATTCTTCACTGGCGTAAAGAAGACTTTCCCTGGTTGACTGACCAGGAGAGAAAGAGGAGAACAAGGGAGGAGACGCAGTGGGAGAGAGAGAGAGAGAGAGAGAGAGAGAGAGAGAGAGAGAGAAAAGAGAGAAAGAAGAAGTGAGGGGAAGGGGAACCGGCCAGAAGAGGGATGTGAGATGTAAGTGATGATGGGAGAAGTGGGGACAGAGGAGGAGACAGGCAGTAAGACTCCATCTGTGCATCTGTTCATCTTAATTATAAATTACTGCTCAGTAAATGCTGCACATTAAAGGGAATGTTTAAAAAACCCACAGTAACTGAAAAAGTCACTGCTATTTCAATATTAGCCCGCGCCCTTTATGCTCTGTTTTGATGAATGATCCTTGTTAGACAGCCTGATCTGATAATGGCCCATTTTATTTTATTTTGCAGCAGCTTCTCTTGAATGTGCGGGCTCTGCCAGAACTGATCCGGATCCATCACTGTGACAGATGGGCTTTAAAAATGTCCACCAAAAGTCTAGTAATACACAACATTAAATGTATTTCAGTGCTTACTAATGACATATGCAGTTTAAAGTTTCATTTGTGGGTGTTTGTCAGCGCTGTAAAAGATTCAGTCGGCTAAAATAAAAGTGGCAGATTGTTTACTACCCAAACTGTAGATCCAGATGCTGCACATTTCACAGAGGAAGTAAGCCAGTAATTATGTTGTTCTCTGCGAGGATATGGGCACCTATTGAGTTAGTGATAAGATTTATCATCATAACTTATCCCTCCAAGTTTTATTAGTCCTTGGTATTCCACCTTATAGGAATATACAGCTGGAATCAGCACGTTGTCACAGTAACAGACTTATCAAACACAGTGAAGTGGCTGAGCAAAAGCAATGACGCCGTTAAAAGAATTTCATATCAGACTGTGTTTATGAACCATTATTGCTGTGTGTATATTGAAGAGGCCCGCCACAGATTTCAGACATCAAGTTCAGTTTATTGAACTACCCCCAACAGGGTACCGGCTCCATTCTGTTCAGGCACCTGGTTTTGAACCATTCGGAACATTTTGGCCAAAAAGAAAATTGGTTTGGAAACTAGCAGGTTTTTCTTGGGAACCAAAGTGGGAGAGTCACATTCTACAGGTTGTTGCGCACTGTTCAACACCCTCTGTTGAAGGCGTATCCTTGAGCATCCACTCGAAACTGGTGGAAATGCGGGCCGGTTCAATAGATAGCACCAAAGTTCCAAGGATCTTGAACGGGACCGGTTCGTTATTTGGTGGAAACACTCAGTGCATGTGTTGCTGGCTCAGGCTAGGGACTAAAGGTCTTTTCAGATGGGGAGCAACTGACGTAATCCATTTTCAATGAGAGGTGAGTGGACAGGTAGGGAGGGGTGAACGATCTGACAGGTGGAGTGACAAGCAGGCATATCTCCTATGCGCAGTAACTACTGACAACCACTGACAACTTCAATGGATGAGATTCTGCTACTTTCTGTTTGTGAATTTCCTGAACTAAAGTTTATTGGCAGAGCATCGCCACAACACTGGATGTGTCAAGTAACTTCAGTTTTAATTTAAAGGTAGAAAAATGGCAGACTCCATAGAAGGTGACCCATGGTGTCTGTAGATAAAAAAGTCTCATTCTAGGAAACATAACGATTCCTACATTAAGGTGATTATACACTAATGAAAACATACTTATGAATATTATATTTCATTTATTTAATCATTTAATAGATTCTCCTTACACACTGGACATTTACGCTAGGCTATAAAGTTATGACTATGCTAATTTAGCTAACTTTATCTATCAACAATAACATGGCATCAAAAACAGGATTGCCACCAATTGTCAGTAGTGTACAGAACCCGTCTCGTGGAGTGCTTGTCTCCCTGTCTATTTAACATGAGGAGTGCAGGGAGACCCCACAGATCTGAGCGGGTACACAGCAGGTCTGAAAATATCTTAATGGTGTGTCTACACAGACGCTGTTACTCTGCTATGTGTGTGTAAGTCGTAACTCAGGCTCTGCTGCACCAGCGTTCAACTCTCTTATGAGTCCTCAGCTTTATGGAAGTACAATACTAAATCCAATTGCCTTAAATGATGCCAGTTATATTTGATTTGTATATACTGTTTTGTTTTATATAACATTTTATTCATAAGCCAGACTTATCCGATATGTTTGTCCATGCTTTTGGGTAAAAGACAATTTATCAGGTGCCAAATAAAATGGCACAAAACCCCCCCAAAAAAACGAAAAAAAACCCCACTTGAGTCTGGATGTCACCTGAGATTTCATGTTCTGCCCCAATCTCCAGCACCATGTCACTGCAATACGGACGATGGAGGGCTGAAGACAGGAGTGAGTGACAGATGGAGAGAGATTGGTGATGGGCAGAGTGGCAGAGAAAGATAAAACAAGAAGAGCCTGGCAGAAGACAGAGACAGAAATCTCAGAAAACAGCTAGACAGGGAAAGAAAGCAAGAGATGGTACCAAACCAAAGAGTGACAGGGACAGAGAGACAAATGACTGGAAGCAGGACAGCGTTCAGTCTCTGCCCGCTCCCTCCCTCCTCTACATCCATCAACTTCCTGCTTCAACAGGAAACGCTTACGCCATCATTTCTTCTTTTACTCGGACCAATCAATAATCTTATCTGCTGTCACATGATAATGCTGAGACCTGGCGTGCGTCTGCCAAGTCTACTTAACTCTAATGAGTAAAAACTTTTCGGACTGCATCCACTGCGGTGAATAAGATTTATAAAGCGCGACCATCTCCAAGACGCAAGATGGCTGACGTCAGAGAGATGGCGGGGGGCGGAGGCACGGTCCACTTACTGCGCTGATTTAAAAAAGAACAAATCTCAACTAAAGGCTGAGCCTGGTGGAGGATTTATACATTGAACCTAATTCAATTCTACAACAACCATAAAGGTCAGCTTTTGTTCTGCTTGGTTTCATTTTATTTCAAGGCCCTGCAGGTTTCCGCGGTTGTGTAAATTAACAGAGCCGGTCTTTTGATCACTCAGATCCCACTGTGTCAGCACACTTCTGCTGATTGCAGGGTGGATGAGCTGATTGGCTGATTATAAAGGGTCAATAAATTGATTTAATGAGAGCCAATCAAAACAGATCGTCCTGGGGAGAGGTAGACGTAGCGAGCTTTATGTCCTGGAGGGTTAGGATGACTAATGCAAAAATAGATGATGAGAGAGAGGAAGAGAAGATGTAAAAACAGCTAACACTGCCTTTCCTCCACTTTCATTCTTGCATTATATTATAATTTTGCCATTTTCATTTTAAAAATTTGGGACCAATTATGCTAATTTCCAGCTCTACATTTTAATTCTGGGACTCCACAAATAGGTTTGCATGATTCACATTTAAAAAATCCTTATTTATCTCATACTGGCCCCTTATGCAGTCTCTCAGTTCAGCCCACTTTATTCTGACTCAGATGCCTACCAAGGGGGAGGGGGTGTTCAGGGCCACCCAGCTGGCACCAGAACCCAGTCTCTGGCAATTCAATTTCCAATTCAATTTTATTTGTATAGTGCCAAATCATAACAGAAGTTATCTCGGGGCACTTCTCAAATAGAGCAGGTCCAGACTGTACTCCTTATAAAATTGCCAACGGACGCCAGTTTGATGACAGTACCAAGGCGATTTACAGCCAAAATTGGTCTGGCCCAGTGATGGCCCACACAGCCCATATATACTCGGCCCAGATACAGCACAGAATTCTGGTCCAACACAGGACCAGACAGTTGGCTGAGATATGTTTATGTCATTGGCCATTTGTGGCTACCACATCTGGCCAACATGTGGACCATAATTCATTGCTGTATTTCTGTTTGGACCGGACCAATTCTGCTATGTGGGTCCTTCTGGTGATAAACACAGAATCAGCTAGCAGCACCGCTAGCTGCATAGCTAACTGAGCTAACTAGGTGACAGCAGCTACAGTTAGCAGTAGGTAGCGGTTACTTTAGCTACAAGTAAAGCCGCCTGTCCATCAAGAAACTAACTCACTCTTCTTCACAACCTAAAAAGCACTTTCTGCAAGACATACTCAACAACCTCTAATAAGTTGAAGAGTAGTTCTGAGCACAACGGTCGAGTAACTCAGACAGATTGAGTGGGTGGAAGGGCGCCCTGTATCTACATCGTGGTCGTGCTGTGACTCATATACAGATAAGCTAAAGTAAAACAAACCTCAGAGCAGTCTAAAGCCTGAGCTTTTTGCTCATAGGGATTACTTCTGCATATGTTTATCTCATTATCTGAAACTTAAGCCTTGTTTAAATATCAACATCTGACACTGTAGCTATCATTATATATTCACGACAGAAAAGAAGTGTAATAGGTCCCCTTTAATAAAAAAGGCTTTGGTACAAAAGGTGCTCCATAAAAAGAGCTTTCAGAAGTGGATGTGACATTTCCTGGCTGCGGGATAAATTACATACATTTTACCTTAGCGTACACACACACACACACACACACACACACACACACACACACACACACACACACACACACACACACACAAAATTGAACATTGTGATACTGAGGCTGTGCAGCAGCAGAACAGCTTTGTGCTTCTCTCCTCTTTTTTCATAATTGATAGTGAGATATGATCAAAAAAACAGAAGTCACAGTGGAGTGAGCGTGAACACACACACACACACACACACACACACACACACACACACTCATAAATCTGCAAGTACTGCATGCAGATTTATTTAATGCAGCTCCACAGTTACGTTGCATGCAATAGGAAAACACGCCCGCGCAGTAGTGGTGTAATAGTGCTGACCTGGTGTTATCAGAGTCGATGGTGTGAAACAGCTTCTCCAGCTCTTCCTCATTCAGCGTGCCATCGGAGAAGAAAGCCTGGAACTCGTCCAGAGACAGCTTACCATCATCTGCAGGAGACACACACACATTACTGAGAAATCAGTTGTAGTAGAAAGCATCCTCACAACAAGAGCCGAGTTTCATCAAAGGTCCTGACATTTGATCATGCCAAAACCCTCAACATTAGACAGTGTTATTACAGAGAACCATTCCTTCATTGTATGAAACTGTCTGCTTTTAAAATGAGTAAAAGGAGATAGTAGTATTCATCCAGCTCAACCTCTTTTCCAACTAACATCTGTTCTCTTTGGTCTTTGAAGACTTTTCATGTCATAAGGACCAAGCAATTAAAGCCCCTGGCGGTAATGTTTTGCTAAAAGTCTTTAGTGAAGTCCGAAGTATGCATGGCAATGTTATTCGGTCAGTCCGTCTTAAAATATCTGAACCGCTGTTGGATGGATTGTCTTGATCTTGTCATCATCTTGTACAGACACTCATGGTCCCCACAGGATGAATACTGTACTGATTTTGGTGATCCTCAGACCCCAAAATCAGTATCAGCCTCAAAACTCCCATATCAACCGGGCTCTATTTATCACTAAATACCTGCTAAAGTGACATTCCCATCAGCCTCAGCTGTACTGTGTGTTTTGTGCTACGATAAATGTTTCATCAAGTCCTCCCCTCTGGTATCTGCTGCTTTCACACGAATGCGCTTGTTGCTTGATTGGAAAACCCTAGAGTTAAGAACAGCTTTGTGATATCGGTTATCCAGTACGGCCAATGTTCAGACTGAGTCAAACTTATTTTGTGACACCGACGCACGACAGTCATCCATGCCTTCGTCCTATCTCCACTGTTACTGCCTGTACTTCTGTCTCAGTCAAACTTTATACAGTATGAGTCAGAGTGAAGCCTCAACCGTTATGCAACTTGTTTGTCCTCATTTGCCCTTATTTTGCTCTAAATTACTTTTTTTGACTTTTTATCAAATCTTCAAATTAATACCTGTTTGCTTTGCCGTACCATGTTCCCACCCTCACAAACACACACACACACACACACACACGCTCAGTGGGATCCTGCCTTCAGTGCTTTCTCAAGCTGCTGTGAAATCAATCCGGCATGTGCTTCAGTCTGCTACAATCCCTGTTGTATCCCTGCTGTCTGTCTGTCTGTCTGTCTGCCTGTCTGTCTGCCTGTCTGTCTGTCTGTGCACTTTGGTGAGCACACAATGCCGATTATGTTTCAAAACCTCAAGGCCTTCGGGGGGCATTGATAACCAACAGGCTCACAAAACAATACCAGATTTCTACTCTTCTTATGTAACCCCCCAACAAAAGCTTTTTTTTTTTTAAATGCTACAGTATGCTGATGTGTAACATGGACAATGTTTGACACTTGGCTGTACAGGTGTCTGACTGATAAGGTCAAAAGAGGGCTTCATGTTTTTCAATGATTAACCATAAAGCAAGCCTATTTTGCAGCATAGATGCACAGTAAGTATAAAAGATTGTGCAGATAATCTGTACGTACAAGTTACAGTAGCTAAAATGATTAACAAGCTGGCGACAGCATTTCACAGGTTTAAAATTATTGATCTTTTCTATCAAACACTTAATTGTTTTGTTGCATGCAGCATCCCTTCTACCTATAATTTCACCGTGCAGTAATACAGAGACAAATGTTACTAATCAATGCTTCCTGAACAAACGATCAATCACACTCCCTTTCTCAAACTGGTTGTCCATTGATTAGTGTACTCAAGTATTACAATCCTATGTTGCCATATAAGCCACAAAAGGCTTTATACAACTTTTTTCATATAGTACTCCCCAACACCTGCAAATCAATTTGATCAGAGTTCCCCTCTAACACCAGCTAAATCTGTGCTTATTTCCTTTCTGGTTTTGTACTCCAGCTGGTTACCAACTGGAAGACGCCAGAAACACCCAACACCCAACATTTGACACCCAACATTTGACACCCAACATCTGAGCCACAGCCGAGGCAGAGCGGGTTGTCCACTAATTGGAAGATTGTTGGTTCAATACCCGGCTCCTCCCGCCCCGTGTCGAAGTACCATTGAGCAAGACACTGAAGCCCAAATTGCTCCCGATGCTGTGCATCGCAATGTGTGCGTAATCTACAACAACTAGACTAGATAGAACCGCTAGATGCTACTAAATCTTACATACTTTAAGTAGACTAATACTAAATAAATAATAAATAATAAATAATACCAAATTGGCTATTAAAGACAAAAATATTTACAGAACAAACAACAGCTTGCTAGCATATATATGTGTATTTATACGTACACTGCATGTTTTACCTTATTTAACACCAGCTGAAACAGTGTTGAAAGTTTTAAATTTGTTTCACCTCTGACAGTTGTTGTCAGAAAAGTGCTGACACACCCTGGAGTGCACCTCTACATCACTGCAGCAAGGGGAGAAGTTAAAACACTAGATTTTTTTTTCACTCAAAAATCACTGGAGTTGTTTACTTTTTTCTCTTTACAAGGTACCAGTGCATCATACTGTTTTAGGCAGTTTTATGAAAAATAAACAAGAATGTACTTCTCCTGTGCTTCTATCTATCTTACCATGTATGAATTACATTCACATCGGACCTTTATGCAGCACACAATGTACTTTCAATGCACAGTAGAGAGCAAGTCTGTGGTGGTCCAGTCATATACCAGAAATATTCTTTTTATTAATATCTACCCATGACAACAATGGGCTATACCTTCACAGGGCTGTTGGAGCATACAAGGATGAACACTTAATGTGACTTAATGTTAATTAATCATCAGGTTTTTATTCTTCTTGTAGAATACTGCAGAGATCCAAAAAACAGCCAACCAATATCTCTTTACTGTTTAACTGTAATGCAGCGTGAGCCTTTCTGTGGTGGAGTGGTGGCTCTGCAGTAGGGAGTAGTTATTCATGGCTTTGACTCCATCCTGCATCTGCTTGCTAGTATGCCTGACTGTCTGTCACACCACATGATGCAGAGCTAGATATCAAATATTAATTCCCTTGCCCTCAAAGTGTGTTTGTCCTTGAGTGTGGCTGACTGGATGCAGCAGGTTGAGCTATGGGACCACTGCATAGCGCTGGGAAACCACAGGGACGGGGGGACTGCAGCCTTACAAAGGGTTGAATTCAAATGCGCTGCTCTTAAGTCTGCCTCATCTGTTCTCTGCTGTTTCTCAGTTGCTTGCTTAGGCAATATGTTTATGAATTTCTCATTTTACCACCAAGAAGTTATCCATTTTTCATTGCCCTATTCTTTCTTCTGCTGCTATATTCTTACCAGTTTTTTTTTGTTTGTTTTTTTTTGGCCTCCCCCACTCCAGCGCAGTAGGAGTGTGGCTGACACACATCCAGCAGAGAGACAGGGAGCTGCACTGTCTGACTCTGGCTCGAGTTTGGACCACTCAGGAGAAAAAGGCTTCACACGGTTCTCAAAACAGACTAACAAACTGTCAAAAAACTTCCCGGAACTCCACAACCATGGCCAGCCACACTCCTACCTCCTCTCCAACTCACTTTATACCTGTCTCCCTATTAGTCTCGCCATATCTTTTATCCCTCCTCTCTTCTAGCTCCTTGTTAGAGAAACCCATAGTAGAAACTGACTCTCAGTTGCTGTGCCATGTTGATATCTGCTGCACACAAATACGCTGGGTAAGAAACGCCTTCACAAACGACTTACTTTTCGCAATGCTTGGCATAACCTTTCCTGCACAGAAGGCATGTTTGTTTGAGGCGGACATCTGAAATGCCACTTCTTGTGTTCACAGCACCAGTCCCACTCTCCCTGTCCACCCGGGCTCAACTGTTTATTTGGACTCTGTGGCCATGACTATTTCTAACCTGCCCTTCTCTGGCGCAGCAGTGAAGCAGCACTGAAAGCAGAGGCACTGGTGTTTAATTCAGCAGTGACCCAATTTACTGCATGCAGCCAGCTAGCCCGGTTAGACCCACTTAGGAATTCTCCAGTAACACACCAGAAACGCAGCAACACACACACACACACACACACACCACTCAAGCAAAGCAGATACCTAGCTAACCCCATTTCCTAAAGCATGAAATACTCCCAAATTACACGTCTCACAAAAAACTACAGCTTCTATAATCCCTGGGCTGTATTATACCACTGTCACATACTCAACCATGTTTGCTTTTTGTCAAATGATACCCTCTCACATACGTAATGTGTTAATTGTGTGTTCTCTGCATAGACTGTATAACTGAAAATGGATGTAGTCTCCGTGGCTTCACCCATAAGTTTTTTATAATAGCCATTGTGAAGCTCAGTGTGGTCGGCTCTGGCCGTCGCCAAATCCTAACTCCATCGGCTCCAGGCTAATCCAAAAATGGCAAAGAGGTGGAGCATGGGTGGGGCTGAGGCGGGCTGAATGAAGCCTGGTTACTGGGTGGCAAAAGAGGGGCATGAAGTAGGCAATTCCAATACTGTTTATGGAACCTGGTATGCAGAAATATTTAAATATACACATTTATACCATATGCAAAAAACTGCATGGGATTAGCATAAAATGGGCATGTCTGCAAAGGGGAGACCCATAGAACCCATTTTCATTCCGATCTTGAGGTCAGAGGACATGGATCTCTTTGCCAGTCATGCCAGTTTTTCCATTGGCAAAATTTTGCTGTACTTCAGAGCGTAATTCACCACCCCCTTCACAACATGCTGGTGGCAAATCAGATTTCAGGGGTGACCACCCCAACCACCCCAAACCCCTCACCCAATAGGATAGCAGGCATGAACAGCATTCATAGAACATATCAGCTGCTGCCCATTATCTAAGTCCTGGTTCTGTTGCCACAAAATCACCCTGAAACTTCTGTATAACAATCCTGTCAACAACTATTCTCGTCACTAACCTCATAAGTTGGCAACAGAGGAGGTGATGCAACAGCCAAGAGCATCCTGTCTCCTCCAAATGAGACACTTTCGATTTGCCCTATTTGCTGAAATTACCATTATTTTACTGTCCAAAATGGTCCACACAGGGAAATCATTTTGATGC